CTGTAGCTTAACACACAACTCCTAAACCAGGTGCAGTTCATTAGTTGATATTTAAAGTAATAACATATTCGTATTCAGATTATATCAGATTGTTTTGATGTAGTGGTTTACGGATCACCGGTGCATATATTAATAACTTTTGCGCAGGCCTAGATTACTTTAGACTGATCGTGGCCCCTTGACCAAGCACAAGCATACGATGATGGAAAATGATAATTATTGAAATCAGTTTCATTCATGGAATCATTGATTTTGTTACCAAAATGATGATGTTTAAATTGACTATATACTATAAATATCACTTCAGGGCATTATGCATCATTGTTACATCTATATGAAAGCACTAAGAGTAAATTAAACACAAGCGCTAATATGAACTGTCAATTTCGAGTGATAACCAATCAAAATATAAAACCAGAATTTCTCTTTGCAATGGTTTTGCTCCTACTTCTTCCCTAGTAACCCTATTATCCAAGTAATAATCAACGTTTGAAGGGACATGTAAGTATCACAGGTATTATTTAGATTATATAATATCAAAGAAGTCTCTACCAAAATAAAAAAATCACATTCACCAGGGTGATGAGGCTTTAGTGGATATTATATTGACAGATTTTAAGCTCCTATGGATGCAGTATTTTGAAGCACATATAGTGAGTCTATAACCTGAGTTGTATAATTATTAACATCCCATCCAGGCCTATAGATAGATAGAGTATTTAAGTTAATATGCCCATGGACATTGTTCATTGTACAAAATGTATAAGCTGAGGGCTGCTTGGTTTAAGCTCTGTTCAAGGCCTGAATCTAAAAATGGATCTCCCACTCAATCCATGAGCTTAGTCTGAATGAGTGACCGTTTAAATTTAGTAGTAGCCTACAACCTGAAGTTAACAAGTTAATGTAAAACATTTGCAAGGCAATGCGTTAATTCACGCTTTGATCCGCTGTCATAACCCAGTTTAATAAGTTGCAGTCCATTGACTATTAATTTGTTTCCAAATGGTGTGAGCAGGAGGAACGCTTCCAAAATGCTTTACTTTGCCACTAATGCAAATCAAAGTTGGGCTATCTATTTAATATGCATGATTGGTTGGTGTAATGTAATTAAAATCCTGCTATTTAAATTATCCTAACAGTATAAAAATTAAACTTTAAATGTATTTCAAAGTACACTTGCTTCTGCTGCTAAGAACAATTAATTTCAGAAACTAATTCATTTATTGGATTAAGCTTCACTGTTCTTTAAACACTGCAAGATTTATTGGACCTTTATTTCACCCTAATGGGACATAAGTTTGAAGGAGCTTATTTGGAGATTGAATGTGTTGCACAGTTAGTTTTTTAGGTTACCCACAGATTTAAGTTTGAACCTGCTGAGAAACACTTCTGATTAAAAACAACAGTATATTCCCAGCAGCTAAGAATAATTACTTTGTAATAAGATATAATAATAACAATAGCCCATTTTATGAATTACACTTTCCTATATTTTGGCATATAGTTTCATCATTCTGACATATGTCAAATATATTGTATACTTATATATTTGCCATAGCTTGATCACATTGAAAAATATGTAAGTCAATCAAGCTGCTCTATATCATATGTCATATTTACAGCAGCCGTTTCTGCTGGTAAAACTGAAGATGTCAAATTCTGTTGATTAACAGACTCTGCCAATATAGTCTACACTCCGGTCCCTTTTCAAGAATTGCTTAACAAAATGAGAGCTGGTTTGTAACGTAAACAGAAATCACAAGTCTCTCTTTCTCCTTTTTCCTCACACACACTTTACTGAAAAGCATCCACTGGTCATTAATTGAGTTTTCTTTTCAAATCCCCATTCGTCACCCTAATTAGCCGATGTTGATCAGCAAGGGCTCCCTTAATATTGATTCCATGTGTGATAAGAGATGTGTTTTTTCTGTCACCGGGGTGTTAAGGAAAATATCTAAATGTGTAATTTGAAGTGCCTCTGTTTGAAGCCTTTGATCTTGCCTGTTTTGCAGAGCCTCGGTTCATCATTTGCGACGTGTCGCTGGTGCCCTGTGTATTGCATAAGGAACTACTGTTGAGCGATAGGCCGTGTATGTTTGCTTATGAGAATGTGAAATTGTGTCATCTGCATAATTACCGTCAAAGAGTTCTCTACAAAACAGCCCTCAAGTCACTCGTGTATGATTGCCCTCTTTTTTTTTTTACAGCACCTACCAATTTAATTGACACCATTGCACTGCCATGCTTGCTCACAAATTAAGAACACTAATTTAAAATAGGTGTAATAAAAAAATTAAAATAATAAATAATACTAATTAAAAAAATATATTATAATAATGACGTTATTTGAATTATAATGATTACAATTAAATTAATAAAACAATTATTTGTGTTATTATAAGAATTATTAAGGGAATATCAGATGTCACAATAAATAAATTGTCCACATGTGTGTGCGTGTGTGTGTGTATACGGAAGTCAAGCAGAGGTTAGTTTACTGTTTACTGAGACTCTCTTTAGGAGAGAGGGGAGCGGCGTCCTAATGCTTTTATGGCTACGCCAGTTTCCCGGGTCGGTGTGAAAGTGTTAAGTTAGTGCGTGGTGCGTTTGATTGGAGGCAATAAATCAGACGATGTCCCTGGCGTGGGTGGAGTGGGGGGGGTGGGGATGGCGGCCGAGCGACGTGGTCCCGGGGATGAGACACGTGTCCATCCGGACTCAGAGCGCTGCTTAGCGGACACAAGCAAGCAGACACCTCGCTGGACTCTCAGATGTATACTCTCTCTCACACACACACACACACACACACACACACACACACACACACACACACACACACACACACACACACACACACACACACACACACACACACACACACACACACACACACACTCTCTCTCTCTCTCTCTCTCTCTCTCTCTCTCTCTCTCTCTCTCTCTCTGTCTCTCTCTCTCTCTCTCTCTCTCTCTCTCTCTCTCTCTCTCTTCCACTCGTTTTCGTCTCTCTCTTTTCCAGCACTCAATGTTCGGATTTTTAAAATCTTTTTTTGTAGGCCTATATCCACTTTCTTCTTTTCACTTATTATGCAGTTGTGTATCTACATGTCAAATACCATCCACTTATCTTTAACCACCCTTCACTTCACTGTCTGGACCCCCTCAGTTTGCAGGTCGATCTGTGTGTGTGTGTGTGTGTGTGTGTGTGTGTGTGTGTGTGTGTGTGTGTGTGTGTGTGTGTGTGTGTGTGTGTGTGTGTGTGTGTGTGTGTGGTTGTGCGCGCATGTGTGTGCGTGCGCGCATGTGTGTGTGTTAAGTGTGAGCGTGCTATTGACTGCAATGTAGTGATTACCATTCCGGTCGGATGGCACCAGCAAGCCGCTGTAATTAATAACCCCATAATCCGGGTTGGGGTGGATGTCGGCGAAGAACACACACAGATTCAGGACAGAGTTTTACAGAAACAAGGCGTATCCGTATGGTAGCTCCATATGAGAAATTATAGCTGCTATTATCCCTCCCAGACAATGATAACTATCTGCCTCTAAAGAAGATTAAAGGTTTATACAAGTTGAGAATTCTTGGAAACCCGGATCGCATTATCAAAACTAAACTGATGAGATTTGATCTCCCTGTCAATAATACATTAAAAACGTACCATATTCAAATAATAATAATAAATCAACCTCTGCAGTTGTTTTGCAAACGATTAACAAAACAGATGCTGGTAGGAAATCGGGTTGAAATGCGATTAAGGTTGTCCCATACACACTTTTATGTATTGATTCATGGAATTTCAATCCTGACTTCCTTGTTTTGTTTTAATCCGTATTATTTACAGGAAACATCAGGTCGCTTTTAAATTATCAAATGGATTTATTTAGGTATACAGTCTGTCCGGATGATCGTTTTGTTATGTAGTGGATTAAATAAGAGACTTTATTTAAAACCACTACATTATTTGTTGATTTAAGCTTTTCTTCGAGCGATCTGTTGATTTCACCCTCACGATTATTTGTATTAATATTATTAGTATTATTTGTATTTGTAATGTTATCATTAGTGGTGTTGTTTTTGAATAATTATGCTTTTACTTTATTTATATTTATTTGTTGTACATTTGCTTATTGGAGTCAAGAGTGTTGTATCCCAGAATATACATGTCCCCAGCCCAATCCACTAAAATGTTTATTGCTTATCATGGTCGGTACTTTACACTTAGTCTTCATTAACAGTGTAATGCGCCTATCATCAGCTCTCTCTTTGATGTCAAGTGGCAACATGCAGCCCGTTTGATGTCTCAAATTAAAGACTGAATTGACTCCGATTCGCCTGCCACCAAGAGCCCATAACACCTCAAAATCGGTGTAAGAAAACACAGCCTGCACCGAGTGATGTAGCGATAAATAAAAAGGTGTGTTTAGCCTGTGATCCGGTATGAGCACCCTCGGAAGTTACAATTATTTATTTTTGATAGTGATTTACATGTTAGACACTGACTGTTACGATTTGTTTGAATACGGAAGTATGTCAATTCAAAAAAATGTGTGCGTAAACTTTTTCCCATCAATAAAAAAGTAGGAAAACTGGATTTAAGTGGTAAAAACGGCATCTTTATTTCCTTTTTGAACCGATGTCCTCTTATTCTCCAAAGTTTCTTCTGTGTGAAAAGGAAACTGCAGACAAAAAAAGTTAATCAGTCACTGACACCGAAATGCTTACTGTTGTGCAAATGGCCAAAATTGTGAATTAACACAAAAAAATGTGGTAGGACAGACGCGGACAAATAACAAATTAAATAGATTGGCGAGCCATAAAATGAGATTTGAAACCCCATTCAAATAAGAGCTCGCGACGTCAGTGCACTTATCCCAGAGAGAGAGAGAAAGAGGGAGGAGAGAGAGAAAGAGAGAGAGAGAGGCTGTTTGGTGTGTATGAGAGGGGTGAGATTTGAGAAATAGGAGGGGCTTCTAAACGACTAGAAATGTCAATCTGAGCAAGGGAGTCCCAATAATCTAAAGCAATCTGTAAGGACCTGACCTTAGTCCATCCAGATCAATAGGGAAGTGAGGGTGGAAAGAAGAAGAAGAGGAAGAAATAAGGGGCGCAAACCGGATCGTTTACACTGGCAGTTCCCGAGGAAATATAGACTTCCCTTGCTTGCACCTTTTGTTGCTCACATGCTCACACTGTAAAAGTGGATATCGAGGCAATTCCCCTGCTTTGTGTGGCTGCAGCAGACTTTTTTCCCGTTTCCTACCACCATGTCTTTCCCTCAGCTGGGATATCAGTACATCCGACCGATATACCCGCCGGAGCGCCAGGGGATCTCCAGCAATGCCCGGGCCGGGACAGAGCTCAGTCCGTCCGGCGCGCTCTCCAACGTCCTCTCCTCCATGTATGGATCTCCTTTCGCCGCAGCAGCGCAGGGCTATGGAGCGTTTCTGCCCTACTCAAACGATATATCAATTTTCAATCAGTTGGTGAGTCATTCTGCTCTCTATTAACTCATCCATAACTTTTATTTTACGCATGGAAAGAAAGAGACAATAAATAAACTACATGTGCCCTCTGGAGACGTTTTTAAGTCAACTTTTTTTTTTTTAGAGCGCCTTGGTGTATGACACTTGACGCTGAATCTTTAGGAAATGTAGGTAAAAGTGGTTAAAAAGTAACAGATTAACAATCCGTGGTTAGGGTTTATTGTTAGCACACCATTTCCTGAAACTCATTGCAAAAGAGTTAATAAAATGCTTCTACTTGCTGTGGGAGGTTTACACGTGTAGATGGGAAATAAGTGTACAAAAGTATAAAAATGGCTGTGCAAGTGCTTTAAATACATTTAAAAAGTAGTTTAATATGTTATTCATGGTTAAGCTTGTGGTGCGTAAATACTGATTTGAGTTGTGACAAATATACTTTATCCGTTTTGTTTGTTTACACTTTAATACTAACCCGATTGTTGTTTTATTATTGTAAATCCACATAAGGCATGATTATGTTTAACGCAAAGAAGGATTCCAGACATGGCATTAATATTTTAAGTCTATAAATCCCTCTGACTCTTTGATTCTTTGTCTTTTTGCAGGGTGCTCAGTATGAGCTGAAAGACAGTCCCGGGGTCCAGCACCCAGGTTTTGCCCACCACCACCCTGCGTTTTACCCATATGGCCAATATCAGTTCGGTGACCCGTCCAGACCCAAAAACGCCACGAGGGAGAGCACCAGCACCCTGAAGGCCTGGCTCAGCGAGCACCGAAAGAACCCCTACCCCACTAAAGGAGAGAAGATCATGCTGGCCATCATCACCAAAATGACCCTCACACAAGTGTCCACCTGGTTCGCCAACGCCAGGCGGAGGCTAAAGAAGGAGAACAAGATGACCTGGGCCCCTCGGAACCGCACCGACGAAGAGGGGAATGTTTACGGCAGCGATCACGAGGGGGAGGAGGGGGACAAGAGGGAGGACGAGGAGGAGATCGACCTGGAGAACATCGACACGGAAAATATTGAAAACAAGGACGACTTGGACGACCAGGACGACCTGCATTCAGATATGAAACTAGACGGGAGGAGTGACTCTGAGATTTCTGACGGCTATGAGGATTTACAAGGGCCCCCAGACCACCAGAGGTTTCTGAAGGCTGTGGGGAAAGAGGGCAAAGACGTTGAGAGAGGAGCAGAGCACTTCCACCACCATCATCATCATCACTTGGACACAAAAGCGTCCCAAGCAAACGGTGAGCAGCTCAAACTGAACGCGGTATCCGTGAGCTCACCGGAAAACATCCCTGCCCCGGTCCAGAAGCCAAAGATCTGGTCTTTGGCAGAGACAGCCACGGCCCCTGACAATCCCCGCAAATCGCCACAAATGAACGGCAGCCACTCCGCAGGGCCCGCCGGCGCTCAGACCATAATGGCCCCTCATAGACTTATCTCTTCTTGTCCCGTTGGGAAAATCCAGAACTGGACGAACCGAACCTTCTCGGCGCATCAGCTGGCATTACTGAACTCTAACCATTACTTGGGACTCGCAAACCAGGCCACAGCCACCGGCCTGGCCCTGTACAGCAGCAGCAGGCAAACGGAGGACAAGAGTCATAGTTCAGAGACTTCAGTCACAGGTACATGTCCCCGACACTGAGACGCGCATGTATAAATTACTACAAAAACAAAGACACTAGCCCATTGACCGTCATTCATTTCTATTATTTTAGACCTCCCGTTTCCTCCTTTGCCTGTTCCTGGATTTTTGTTCTCTCTATAGGCCACACAGATGAACAGTGTTATAGTTTACAGTGTGTGTGATGTATGAGTGTGTGTGTGGAGTGTGTTTGTCCGAGAGGATTATTGAAACCTCATCAGAAAGCATTTATGAAAAAAAAAGTTGAATTGGGTGAAAACTGTTTTCATGCCCCTTCCTGTCTTTATTTGGTATTGTTACATCCATATGGTAGGCTATTAAGGCCCATGTGCTTGTATTCAATGGTTTACATAAATCCCTCAACCTATTAAAACAACTCGACACTAAATTCACTGAAACCCAGGATGGGGTATGATAATAGGCGTTTTAATTATTGCTTTTTTAATTTCGATTGCCACAATTTCAGAGAGATCTAGTGCCTTGGATGCAGAGAAAAAGTTGTTAAAACAGCTTTCCACCCACTTCAAAGATAGCGAGGCTGTCACTAATGACATTTGGGAATTTTCTTTTTGATGCCATTTCGCATTATTCTTTTTTTAAACGCCATATTTACCCAAATTAGCTTTTATTCTAAGATTTGTTTTTATCCCTGTGTGTGTGCGCTTGTGTTATTTCGTCAAGGCCTATGTTACACTTACTTGTTTGGTCATGCAAATGAGCTCAATGCAAATTCACTACAGGCTCGTTGTTAAAAGGCAATTGTCACTTTTATATCACTTTGTTTTTTAGCTCTTCCTAAGGCTATTATTAGTAGGATTTATTTTCTTTTTTTTTAAGATCACTACATAAAAAAGGTATGTTACCCCTGTGTATTTCAGGCCTCTGAACCCACTAGCAGCAGCGGTGCTTCTCTCGGCTCTCTCCTCTGCATTACCTCTCACCCATCCTCTTTATTCTTTCTGTTTTATTTTAATTTGAATATGGAATGTAAAATAAGAATAATACATCTCTGTATACTTACATTGTAAGCATGTCCTGTGTAAAACTGCTAATGTAATAATGTATGAACCTGTAGTCTGTGAGTTTTTCTTTTCTTTTTGTAAGTTCTGTGAGGATTTGATGTTCAAATGTTTTGTATATAAAGTTAAGAATATGTACATACTTGTGAACCAAATTGTACAAGAAAGTCTATATTTTGGCTAATAAATGAACTGCTGCAACTTTAAGAAATTGTCGGTTTTTGGCGGAGGTATTTTGACAGCTGCTTTTGATGGTGGCTGTTATTGTGCATTGCAGTTTGAATTGCACTGCTTTGGTTTCTGTGTGTGTGTTAGTGGACAGCCTGAGGCACAGTCTTCATCCTCCGTGGCAATGATAAGTAAATATTCGAGAGGGATTTATCACACTTTTGTAGTGGAGGGACTTAAGGCTAATTAGCCAGTATTGCGGCATACATTTGGATATTAATGTTGTGGGATTATCCTTATAGAGGCGTATAGCGGTCGTATTAAAATGAATAATTCTTTCATTAATTTTGCGTGTGAAATTCTACGGTCTTTAAAGAGACTTTTAGGTAATGAACTGTTATTGGTATTTGGGAAGAGCTGATCCTCAAGATGGATTTTAGCTTTGCAGTGCAACTCCCAGATCTCATAATGCTCAATTTGTAATGTTTTTGCTCTTCGCATTTATCTTACATGTTCCTCAACTAACGCTGCTCTTCGGTATAATTGTAATATATAGTCGCTGTGGAACTAATAATAACATCATTTATTTTCTTTGCCCGTGATGTGATCATTTGCATGTGTGAGCCCTTATCACAGGAAGTTATGTAAACTTAGTGTTGGAGCTCCCTCTACAGTCACATGCAGTCGGCCATGTTCTGCTGCACTCACATTCAGATCCTGGTCTCTCGTTTTTTTTCGGCCAATTTCTAATTTATCTATCCGTTTTTATTCAAAATTCGATACTAACATTTTGTTCTCTTAAATCTGTCACAATATGATACATTTTTAAGGTGTTTTCAGGCCTTAGTGGTGTGATTTTGTGATGCACAAACGCAGTGCATTTGTCAAAATCAGTGGACTTGGTTTGCATGCGTCAAAAACAAAACAATTTTTGAAAGGCATTTAAAAAGACAAGATTAATTTAAATGCTATTTTTTCCCAAATGTTAGAAAATATTTTATGAAAAACAAAGAAGTATTTTCAGTTGGGTTGGCATGCAACAAACCATTTGTCATGTATACAAATGTGTACAAAAAAGACACAACAAAACCAAAATAGTAACATATAACTATCAGAACTTTTAGATACATTCAGTTTTTTTCTCACTAAATTATTGAACAATTTGTTATGGCTTTCATGGTTAGATTTAGGATCATAGGACTTCTCAATTCATATCGTTAAAAGCGCATTTGTTCGTTTCACTTTAAAAAAAAAAGTGAGGTCAAATTACTTAAAATAATTTAGCCTACTATAAATTATTGAATGTAAGAAAAATAATTTCGTCAATATTCCTTAAATTCAAAATGTAAAAATATTTTAACCAATCGTCAACATTTAAAAAACTCAGATGAGAAATGAAAGTGTTAGTTATTCACAGTTTGATCTTTTATCCCACCTTTTTAACTGCATACAAAATATATTCATGTTAATACTTTCTAAAAAATACATTTTGGAGACAACCTGCGATTATCCTTATTTATTCCTAAAACGTTTCCGTTTATATTGTTTTTCTAATTTCAGCTTTCTTTTATTAAACTTGTGAGGACTTAGTTTTATGACTGCATTTATATATTTTTATGACTGCATTTTAAAACGCAGTCTGTCACACATTCCTCGACCAGCCTCAGATGGTCAGCGAGGACAATATGTTTTAATATCTGCCATTCAGAGCAGTAAAGGCAGATGAAAAGCGCTGATTCGCTGCAGCCGTATCCTCTCTAGGTTTAGGATATGTTTTAAACAAACTTCAACTCAGCCGAGGCAAAGACTCTGGAGCCTTTTGCCTCTCACCATGTTGCCTTCCTGTCCAATCAATTATCTTCCTTCAGAGCCCATCTCACTGCGCGATGCATATTCATAAGGAATCAAGCAGCTGATTGATGTTATAGTTTTTTTGTGTTAATTCTTGCCCACTTTTGTTAAAGGAAGTAGCTTTGAATGACCAGCTACATATTCATTATTATTAAATACAAACGAAAATTGTGTGATATACAACAAATAAAGAATACAATACAAATAACGGTATAAACCCTTTATACATTTTTAAAAAGTGGCCTATCATGACATGTATTATACACCAACGTTTTAAAGATTTATGTCATCCGAAATAAAATATACTCTAAATAAATAGAGCAGCATGCGAACATAGTGCACCTTATAAATAACGATGCTTATTTCCTCACTGTTCAATGGACGCTCTGCTCCTCAGGGGCCCAGAACAAGCCACCTCTTGATCATGAGGATTCAATTGAAATGCTACTGAAGGGCCAGTGATCGTGTCTGGAGCTCAGGGCCTCTCCTCTGATCAGTGCATGAAATTAGGGATTAAAATGCCTCGGCAGAAACAAAGTAATCATGGCTGCTTATGTCGCCATACGTGTCCAACCTGCTCCCGGTTACAAAGAGCAAATGGAATGCATTAGCTAACATTTCGCTTTGAGCTACACAGGGACCATTTCCAGTGGGGCATGGTGTGTCACTCGTTTCCTCGCACGTTAAGTGGATGTTCTCCTGGCTAATGAGCAATAATCAACATGGACTTCTCTTCTTATTTCTGAGGTCCATGCTGCGTTAAATGCTCAGAGTCTGCGGGACTCACTGTAGCTCTGCTGTACTCAAGTGCCTAAAAAGCAAATAGGCTAATCTGCTTCACACCGGACCTGGAAGAAACGTCGAACTGGAATTACAAATATAAAAAACATACTTGCTAGAAGCTTCAAACAGCTACAAAATAATCAAAATATGATAGTATGGATTATTCCAATTCACACACATTATAAAGATCCTCAATTATGTTTTGTAATTATTTACAAATTAGTGAATGCTTATTAAAAGTTCATAGGCTTTATGCCAAAAACAATCAAACAAATAAAAAACAATAAAAGTGCTGCAAGAAGAAACAGAGAAGAAATAAAATAGTGCCAGGGAATTTTGCACGACTAATGTGCAGTAGATGTTTAAATATATAAGTATATATATCTAAGTTTATCGTAAAATAGAATAAGATGAACTAAAATGAAATGCTGTACAGGGAAATAAAATACTGCTTATTGTCATAATAGATACATGTGACAAATCTGCTTCTGCAGGAAGGAGAGTGTGGGAAAGATTTTGAAATTGTTGGAATTAATTTGTCTTCAAATAATTTATATTGTCCTGTTAAATGCTACTGCTCTTTGCCCTCAATACTCTGAGGCAGGACTACATTCAGCTACATGGGAGAAAAAGGCAATGCCTTGTTCGACAGCCATTTCAAAGGGGGAAAATCTGAGAAAGATGGAATCATTAAAGGGAAATCTAATCCGTCTTTCGAAGTGTTCATTGATCTGCGAGAAGGTGGACGTCAGAGCCAGGCGGCTGAAAGGGTCTGGCCAATGGAGCCATCAGAGCTTCATGTGTGAATGGGGAGAAACCATGGAGTAAATAAACACTAGAGCGGCCCATTGGAGAGGGCCAGAGGTGCCCTGTGAAAGAGGAGGCCGCTGCAAATAAAGGGGGTCAGCCTTGTGTTTTCACCTCATCCACCCCTTCTGTCATTGAAGGCCCAGCACCAGTGCCACCTCCTCCTTCTCCTACCCCCAGGCTGGCCCGTTCTGCCACACCCCCTCCTGCCACCGAGACAGACAAATGTCACCTCCTTTGTGGACCTAGTCAAGCTTAGAAGCGGCCCACTGTCTTTGTGCGCTGGACTAATCCTTTTATGAGCCACTGTTGACCGCGCCCCCCCCACCCAGAGCTTGCCCGGGCCAAGAGCTGGGCTGCCCTTTTAGCAGGCACTCGGCCTGTGTGTTAGCTGACCGCAGGAGGAGAGGGGATCTGCTCTCTTGAACACATGTCCCACACACCACATACCTCCATACACAGGGCTAACAGGGCCACGGCACTCCATGGCAACTTGTTACAGTGGTCGCACTCCAGAGCTGAAAGGAGAGGAGGTGGAAAGCTCAATTTTACCCCTGCTGAAGATATGCGACTTCTGTGTCTCCTGCATGTTTTATGGCACATTCATTATTGACAATGTAAGTGAAAGTGCAGCAGCAACACGTTAAAGAATAGCCAGGGAGCAGCGAGAGAGGGGTTGTTGTGTTTCCCTGGGCTGAGCAAAGGACAAAAGGCCCAGAAGGAGTGACATTCTCTGGGGCCGAAGCGGGAGAGAGGGAGGGCACTGATTTCATGCCTTTTGTTGATGGAGGTTAGAGAGAGGAATTCTTTCACTGAATCCGAAAGGCAACAAGTGGGGAAGGGGGCGACAGGCCGACAGGCCAGAGGGAGAGGCGTTGAGGCTTTTGCCGTTCACCCAGCTGAAAGATTGTGCTTTTCTCAGCCCCTTCAGATCCTTCAGACAGGCCAGAGTTACAGGGCAATTATGGAAATGCAGCTTTGAAGCCAAGCATAGCCGTCTTTCAGCTCTTCCTCAGGACAAAGCAACGGCAATAAGGGCTTTTTATGCACCCTCCTCTATAAAACATGTTTCAGCCTTGGTATATTTACATTGATAACTTTTCTTCTCTAACTCACACAATATAGTAACCTTTGACATTCATATATTTCCTTTAAAATAAGTAAAAAATAACATTGTAGGAGCTTTGTTTAGTTTTTTTATAGAAATATTATAGGAACATTTTCCACATGTTTCTGGTGAGAAGCTGCATTCCACCATCTCCTTACAATTTGAATCTGCTTGTAAAGCATTTACCGAGGAGATGAGCACGGGGGTGGGTTTATAAAAAGCCTCATAGCTTCTTCCAACAGCTGCACACTTTTACCAGCCTGATGTCCCCTCTCCGCACCCTCTCCACTCACACGTCACTAACAGAGGCCCAGCAAACCATCAACCCTTCCCTTTCTCAGCTTTGTACATTAGTCAGCGGTGTAGCACAGAATTTCGCCACCTCGTGTGAACTAATAAGACACATTTTCTCCAGCTTTTGAGAGGA